ACTGTGTGAAATTACTAATAATATCTCTGCCTCAGAGATGCCAATTTTTATCTGTAAGTAGTAATTAGTAGACTATTCTTATGAACTTTGCATAAAGTTCATAAGAGAGACTTGTAAGACTAACACTTTTTGGTTTGGCTCATTGTAAGTTTTTTCTTTCAAAAATTGTACATTTGTTTTCAGATACATTTCAAAGTGATGTTTTTGTTCTATAAAGCTGTTTGTGTCTTGGCATCTGGATACCTAGATGTCTGCTCAGTGCTTTTTTTGTAAAAAAAAAAAAAAAAAGGTGCCCGAACTCACACACGTCATACAACCCGCCTTGCCTACCCTACAAGGTTCCATCCAAAAAAGGTGCCGGAACTCCATTCTGGGCGTTCTATGAGAAAAAAAGCCCTGGGTCTGCTTGTTCCAACTGGAATAAGCCTGATCTATTAAGTCATATTCTGGAGAAATCCTTCTTGGTGCCTTATTTTAGGTGGCTGAGGTCAAAAGGAGGTGCTTTTTGGTAGCTGCCTGGTTCTCTGTAACAGTCTCTTTATAAAGATAAAGCTGACACCTCCTTCCCCCCCCCCCCACTTGCATTTGAAAGATGTTGAAGACAGAACTACTTAGAGGTTTTGCAGGCAGAACTAACCACCGGTGAAGATGATGTGCTGAGCTGTTGATGAACCAGCTCTTTTGAGATGTTTAACCATTTAAATCTATTTGGAGTCATTGTAAGGGATAAGATTAAATAATAAAAATGTCCAAAAGAGAACTTTATAAAGAGGCAGAGGAATTAAAACCTAAATGAAGAAACCGAGTGGAATCGCCCTTTAGTAATAAGGAAGAAGAAATGGAAAAGAAGAAAACCTTTTGAGAGATACTAAAAAATTATGAGTTTGGATTTTAACTCAGTGGCATATACAATTAAGCAACTTAAAGAAGAGATGAAGGGATAATGTGGCAAGTGAGCTACCAAGATATATGAAAGAGCTTGGAAACATTAATAAACAACTTACAGAAGTGCTTTATCAAATACCAGAGATTGCACAGACTTCTAGCAAAACATATGCCAATGGCATGAAAAATGAGCTTGATATTGTAAAAGTTCAAAAAGATATTACAGACATTAAACAAGATTTAGCAGATGTCTAGGACCAGAAGAGAAGAAGTGAGAGTTAAAGGCATCAGAGAGAATGTAGAAAAGGCTGATTTAATTGGATATCTTATCTCCAAGATTAATAACTTCTTTCCAGATATATAGCTTTCAGGCAAAGATGTAGAATTCTAGGCTCATCTGAATATAAAAGCCAAGAAATGCAATCACAAGATTTGTAAATACTTTGGATGAAAAACAAAGTTGTTCAAAGAAGTTGGGAGCTAGATGAAACAAACTAGGAAAGATATTGTTTTTCAAGATATTAATTAATTCATTTATAAGACTTATAAGAACACCCATCTTAAGAGAAACATTTCTGAGCAGCTCACAGCAGGGGTGCAAAACCAAAACTCCATAAAAGCAATTAAAAATAACTGGCACTACAATGAAGCCAAAACCATCACTTCCGAGCTCTGTGCAAACTCTATTAAAATACCTGAAGGGAAGGTATTAGGCCTTCTGAAAGATTTAAATAGTAGGGATCTACTGGATCTCAAGAGGAAGGGTATTCTGCAGGGCAGGGGGATGTTATGGAAAAGGCACATCTCCCGGGTACCAAGAGATGACAACCTTTAAGGCAAGGGACCTTGAACATGCCTATTGTACCTGATTTGGTGGGATGGGCAGACACCCACAGGGAGAGATGGTCCTGAAGATTATCAGGTCTTGTTCCAATAGGACTTAAAAGGTAATAATCAGCACCTTGAATTAAATTGTGAAATAAATGTGGGAGGCAGTGCAGTTTGCAGAATAGATGGTATAACCTGGGTGGAGGGTAGAGTGTAGAGTGCATAGAAGTAGTCCAGTGGGGAATGACCAAAAAAATCAAGGCATATATGACCATGAGCAAAGCCTTCCAACATTTGATGCACAAGATGAATCTTTATAAAGTCCCCCTAGCCACTTGTTCCTCAAATAGGAGCTGTGAGGACACCCACATTGTGCAACAGATCTGTTGGAAATGTGGTACCCTATCTAGAGTCAAAGATACACTTCACCAGACTGAGCGTTCAAAATGCAAAGCCATTCCAACTTGCCATACTTGAGACAGATTTAGTTCTTCCTTATCCAGATCCACATAGCCTTTGGGCACTGAATCAGCATTACCTACCTGGAATCAGTGAGTGAGCAAGAATTCATTCACTCTTGCCCAAATGTTTATATATCTTTATGAATGGATTGGAAAAGGTAAAATAAAAAAATAATTGAATTAGAAAGGAGTAAAGTAGGCAAGTAAAGACATTGTCTGGTAATTGCTAATATGTGTCAGATCCTTGAATTGTTTCATTACATTGCAAAGCATCAATATCCCAATGGCCAGCTAATAGAGGAAGTTCTTATCTCACCATAAATAACATGTAAGAAGGAGATTTAAAAGAAGGCTCAAGATTCAGATGGATCTCAACAGACTTCAACACCAGGTCCTATCTAACAAAATGAAATTCAACGTAGAGAAAAGTAAGGATTTACACTTAGGCAAGAAAAATCAAATGTACAGGTACAGATTAGGTCAAACGTGGCTCAATAGCAGTAACTGTGAGAGAGAACTTGGAGTCATAATGTACAATCACTTAAATATGAGCCAGCAGTGTGTGGCAACAGCCAAAAATCCAACACAATCCTATGTTGCATTAATAGAAGGCTAGAAATAAGATCACACGAAGTATTAGTATCACTTTATACAACCTTAGTAAGATCACACTTAGAATACTGTATCTAGTTTGGGTCACTGTATTATAAAAAAGATGTAGAGACTCTGGAAAGAGTGCATAAAAGAGCAGCCTAGATGATTGGAGGGCTGGAGGCTAAAACATATAAAGAATGGAATTGGGTTTGTCTAGTCTAGTGAAAAGGATAGGGGTGACATGACAGCAGTGCTTCAAAATCTGAGGGGCTGCCACAAAGAAGAGGGTTCAACCTATTTTCCTAAGTACCTGAAGTCAAGTTAAGAAACAATGGATGGAAACTAATCAAGGAGAGAAGCAACCTGGAATTAAGGAGACACTTCCTAACAGTGACAACAATTAACCAGTGGAATGGCTTGCCTTCAGAAGTTGTGGGTGCTCCATCACTGGAGGTTTTAGAGAAGAGACTAGACAACTGTTTGACCAGAATAGTACAGGGTCTCCTGCTTGAGCAGGGGTTGGGCTGGAAGACCTCCAAGATCCCTTCCAACTCTTATTCAGTTCCTTATTGCCAGCCTTACAAGATAGATCAAGCCAAGAAACAAATACTATTTATGATTAAAACTACTTTTATTAATATTGGCTGTAATAATATTGCAAGTCTGAGTGTGCTTCTCCTGCTCTCTTTTATTTATGTGAATTCAGGAGATGTTTGAGACTTTTCAATGTTTATCCCCTTATCTTCTTTCTCACCGTCAAAGTCATCCTCTGTATTCTCAACAGTCATACATAGCATTACCTGGTGAAATCATTACCACAAGACATTGATTATGGACATTGATGTGGATGGGGAATTCTTGGAGGACAGGTATAGCAAAGACCCTTGCTCCTGGAGACTCACTGTTACTTTACAGTTAGCTGCAGAATGACTTTTCTTGTAATTACGAGAGGGAAACAATAGCGGGAGCCTCATCTTTGGCCTGCAAGTATGTGGGAGGCATCTGGTTGACTTTTGTGAGTGTCAGTCCTTCAGGGTAATTGAGACAAGAAACCAATACCACGAGTAGCAATACTACCTTTATTGTAAGGTTACAGTAATAGAATCATGCTAATGTTAAAGCATATCTCTCCCCCCCACCGCCTTTACTTTCCAGGGAACTAGGAAGGCTCCCTCTAAGATGCTTTCCATACTCCATTCCTTCTGTGGACTGAAATGTATCTTATCTAACTGTTGCCCTGGCTTTTCCTCCTCCTGTCTCCAAAGGGTATTCCCACAGATCATTGCAGTGATCAACAAAATATTGGAAGAAGATAAGCCTGAGCTTGTCCTGCATGGCTGTTCCTATGTGCAGATAGAATAACTATGGCAATGGAAGCATATATTTATCTGTAAAACACCCAGAGGCATGCAAGCATGATGGGTAGAATAGAAATTTGATAAATAAATAAGAAATAAATTTCAGAGTCACAGCTGTTAACCAAACATCCTTGCCACCCTGTGCTTTTGAATTATTGCATTTCATGCGTTATGCTCCTTCATATATTGCGGGGGGGGGAGGTGCATCCAAGCTTGTCAGTGTGGATCTTTAAAAATATACTGTCTTGTTTATGCATCTCTTAAATTTGAGCAATTTATCCCATCATCCACCATTGTCCCAAGAGATCGCTGTCTTAAACTTTCCCAGTAGATGATGTCTCTGTTAGTTACTGTTAATTGAACTCTAAATCTGAAAGCTTCTTGGGGTATAAGGAAATAAAACTCTCGCTCCCTCTTTTGCTAATAGCTTGGGCCAACACTTGCAAAACTTCAAAGGGGTTGTGAATCAAAGCTTTTCATCAGTGGGGCAGCTCGTCTGAGTTCTAATCTTTCATGCTTTCTAATGCAATAACATCAAAGGAACCCAAAGAGAATGGCAGCCGCTCCAAAGCAATGTTGCACACACTCACAATAAAACAGTTAACAACCACCCCACAATTAAAAGAAGAAAACAATTATTTACAGGTAGAGTTTAATAATCATGATTATTGCCCCCTCCCCTTACAAAAAAAAAATATCAGATTGTACAGTTCAAAAGTAATATCCAGTGCTCAAGGGACCGCTGGAAGAAAATGAAAAAGAATTAGGAAGTGTCTTATGTATAAGTCTTCAAAGCCAAAGCAACCAATTTATGTTTCATTCTTACTTACTGAAATGTCGTTTGCATATTTTATTATTCCTATCATCTTGCTTGTTACAACCCATCCAAGGAATTCTCAAAGAACATTAAGTCCTACAAATAAATAAACTGTGAATGATGAGCAAGATACAAAATGGCAACAATTAATATCAAAAAGCTGACTTGTAAGGTTTCATTACACCAAAGACTTTTATTGTGCTTATTATTATTTTTATTAGACAGCTGTTCTTCTGTGTGGTGCCTGTGGGCAAAGACAATTTTGTGCTAGAAGAAATTGGAGAGCCTTAAGTATCAGGAGGATATTATTTCTCGTCTTGTATGAATAAAGTAAGGGGAATAACAACTAGTTGGTATGTAGTCTTCTTTAAAAAGTTATATCACAGCTCTTGGATTGCAGAAAGGAAAGCAGAGGTAGAACATAACTTGTCCAGACAGCCTTCCTTGCTGATAAGATTTTCCGGCAGGGTTTTAAAAATGCCATGTAATACATTTCTATCAATATTACACATCTGATATATTAGGGCTACAGCTCCCATAATTAATCTGCTTGCCCACCCATTGACTTTGATAGGACACAGAACAATAATTCCAAAATAGGAACAAAGGGATATACATTCCAATATAAGTCTATTGTATTTAGCAGAGCGTTCACAAGCCTTGGTAGTAGCACACATGATTATCTAGATATACCTTTAAAAGCTATTAAGTGATATGTAGCATATTTGGGGAACGCATCAAAATATTATAAAGTAATCAAAAGAGAAGACTTGACTTTGTGAAAGAAGGGTAAACATACTTACTAGGAGAAAACAAGCACCGATCATCACAGCTTTGATTTTTACATCAAGGTCCACAGGAATCTGAATGCCAAAGTTGGCCGTATTAGTAAATATGTTATTGACGAATCCAGACCAATACTTAGAAATTTTGCCAATAGTTGACATATCATTTACAGTTTTTACCTGCCGGGAAGCAAAACAGCATAGAAATTATTTGGAAAACTTTACCTGTGTATTCCTAAAACATTTTGTAACATAATTTCTCTAACTGTGATGAGTTCTTCTAACACATTGTTGGTTAACAAAGTAATAAAGTGATATTTACTGAGGATTTTCTCTCCATTTGGCCAAGGATATTCTTAGCATGCTAAGTGTTAGCATAAGTGAAGCTGAAGGTCAATAAAGTGGAATTCAGAGCAGATGAGGAGTGTTGTCCTTGTGGAACTAAGAGTTTTCCCTATGGTTTTGTGATTTGATATTAGCAGCATTGTTGCTTGTGAGCCATCCTGGATTATGGTACATCAGATGGGAGGGCAACTATTTAAAATAAATAAATAAATGTTGGGATGGGCAATCTGTGTTCCCAGGCTGGAAATAAAATAATTATTTCCATCCTGGGAACACAGATTGCCCATCCCAACATATTGTCTGTGTTCTCTGGAACCTTTTGGATTGTGTTACCAAAGTTTATTTCCTTGTCATTTGGAAACAGTCCAGAAATAATGTATATGCCTCAAACAGAAGTAACTTAATTTAAAATGAAAAACAAAACAAATATCTCAAATCCCAGGAAAACGAAAAAAATCATGGTCCTGCTTACACATACATTATGTAGGGTTGCCTCTGACCCTGCAGGCCTGAAGACTTGATTCTTTCTCCAAGCCTTTAGGTCCAGGTGACTGGAGTCTTGAACATTGTATTGCAGTATATTTCAGTCTAGTTGACATTTTCTGTCTTTAGCTGGTGTTTAAAGCATTATGTGCCTTTTGTATTTGTAATTGACTTTTCTAGTATCCAGAGTCACTTTTGTTGATTTGGGTTATCAATAAATAAATGCATAGCATGGACCCACTTTTCCTCATCATCCTAGTCCCTGTAGTTCTTGCTGCTTAAAACCATTAAGTGTGAACTCAGCTATCACCCCTCTTTTAAGTGATGGACAAGTGAGGGCAAGAATATTTCAAGTGATGGATACCTGGTGTGCCTAAGAATGCCATTTTCTGAGAAAAGCCTTTTTCAACTATGGCACTTCTGCAAATAATATTCAAAGACTCTCTCTTTCTATCCCATTAGCAACATTGATATGCTATATAGCAATTGCATTAAGAAAACCACTGATGGACCAAATTTTTCTGAATTTGGAATTATATAAAACATTTATGCCAATGGCTGTCTTGTAAAGGTTAGTTGCAATCATTGATTTTACATTCACTGAATAGGTACTTTCACTCTTCTATTCTGTATATTGGCAGTGTTAGTGTAGGACCCCCACACTCTAATATTATATTAGTGTGTGAGTATGTGTGTATGTGTGTATGTGTGCGTCTCTGTCTCTGTCTCTGTCTCTGTCTCTGTCTCTGTCTCTGTCTCTGTCTCTCTCTCTCTCTCTCTCTCTCTCTGTGTGTGTGTGTGTGTGTGTGTGTGAGAGAGAGAGAGAGAGAGAGAGAGAGAGACAGAGAGACTAACTTCCCTTTATTCACTTTTTCAAAAGTAGTATATCATATCTCTCAGCTGCTCTGTAAATAATGGAACTATTGTTGATAATATATTGGTATAAATCACATTCTGTGGAGAATGGATATTGCCTTTACAGGCTTTCATACATATAACTATCTTCTAGGAGCTAGGAGAGCTAGAAGAAGACAAGGAATATAAGAGTGACTTGCATAGAATTATTAATTGAAATATATTTATGGACTGCAAATCAGGATTTTTCTGAAACCAACATACTCCAGAGGATGTAGATACCGCAACTCCTTCAATTTCCTGTCAGTTTGGCCATACATGAACATTCCAGATAACAAAAGGCTAATTCATTTCACTCCCTCAAACTTCTGCCTGATATTTCTGATGCAGATTCTTATTACTAAAAACTTAAGTAATGTTGCCAAAAGACCTCAAAATCAACATCTCCAAAGCAACCGCATGTGATGTAAGGACCTGTGATCTTCAACACATCTTCATTATTCCCATTCCTGATTGTAAATATTGGTAGCAAGGGGTCCCATTTCTGCACAATGTAGCCAATTGTGGTTCCAGGAGGTGACTGAACTTCTAACTAGTAGGCAATCAAAAATACGATTAACAGCATATGGACACACCTGATGCATACATTCATTTTTCATTTGTTTTGTTCTTTAAATGGTACAGGTATAAAATGGGCATTCCCACCAAGCTTTGCATTCAGCTTCTAAAGTTTGGGGCTGAGTAATTATGTTTGGCTGCTTATTAAGCTTATTATCTTAACAATTAGCAAATCTCCTGAGGTTTTACAATGAAAACATAAAACTATAGTTAGAACTGAAGAAATTAATATCACAATTAAAATACAATAATGTATGACTGAAGATAAAATTCAATAAACATACATATTGTACTAATTAAGAACTTTGCTAATTGATGTAATTTAGGTTAATTACATTATTTTTCCTAGTTCCAACCACCTTTGTTCTATCTCTTCTCAGTTTCTGGAAGAAGAAACTCCAGGACAAAGTGGGGCCCTTTGCCATAAAAGTTCTCTTATTTTAAGGTATAATCTATTTATAATTTATAATTAATCAAAGAATACGTGTTCATTCCATTAATATGAAATATCTGGAATTTTCTTATTACATTACAAGCTCATTAGTCAATGTATATTCACCCACACATCTACATATATAGTTATATTTTCAGCTGCTCTCCTTATATCGTAAGTTCTTTCAAGACAGGGATGCTGGGCAAGGGAATATGGTTTTATTCTATAAAGTTGATGCTATATAAATGCTATTATTATTGCTGATTGTAATTATCATCACATCACTCCTTAGTGGGATAGACTCACATGTGGACTGCTGGGCACAGAAATTATGGAAGAAATAAAACTGGGAAAGAATATCTCTAGAGATAGGAAGGCTTGCAAGACATTTATGAGTTTTGTTTTGTTTTTTATCCCAGCCCTCTAAAAATCTTACTGGGTTGAACTGAATTGTTTTGAATTAAGTTTTCAATAGAATGTACTTCCAAATTCAAAACCATTTTCTCATCGAAGTATGTTATAAATTCAAATTAATCCAGTTACTCTATAATTAAACTATTCTTAAACACTACAAACCTGTTGAAGATAGCATGGAAACCAGCAGCTACTACATCTTAATGGTCTGTTCACAGTGATCACCTCTTGACCAGTATTGTCTGTGATTCTTATGGTGAAAGACCGTAATGGTGCACAGAAATTCCGATCAAAGAAGCCGTTTTCTTCCACAGCAAAATAAACTCTTTGCCCCATGTGATTTTTTATCTCATATTTACTGCAGGTTTCAGTTCCGAGTATAACTGTAGTCAAAGGGATAGACATTTTGAACAATGCTATATTTACATTTAGAGCTGAACCAAATCTAAAATGTCTCAACTACCAAATAGTCTACATACAATGAGGTTATGTTATTAGCTCTGGATGCATTCCATTGGCACGAATACCATTCCTGTTGTGTGCCGTAGTTGATGTTCCTTATATAACAGACTGCAGCACAAGGATTATATTAACATCAGATGGAACTCTGTAGCCTAATATGTTATACCGCTAAATATCACATGGGGTACAACTCCTTGAGATTTACATGAACTGTTTCATTCAAGGAATGCACCAGCATATTACATTTTTTCAAGATGACTTGGTTTTAGTGAGAGAAAAGCATATAGCTAGTTCTGTAAGCAAACAATGTGACAAAATCAATCACTTGCTTAAAACTTAACAAATGCAAAAGTTATATAAACTAGAAACAGACAAATTTGGCTATCTTCTATTTGGTGCAAGAATTCATATTTTAAATACCTTGAAGAAGTTCCACTTGCTGGTGAATAATGATCTGATCCAACTGTTCAAAATTGAAGAGATAGCTTGAGAACAGTGAAAATCTGAGAACGGTTAAAGAAATTCATGCTTATCAACTATAACAACAACAACAACAACAACAACAACAACAACAACAACAACAACAATAATAATAATAATAATAATAATAATAATAATAATAATAATAATAATAATAATAATAATAATAGTCAACTATAATAATCATCATCAGTCAACCCCTGCTCAGGCAGGAAACCCTATACTATTTCAGACAAATGCCTGTCCAGTTCTCTTCTTAAAAACTTCCAGTGTTGGAGCATTCACCACTTCTGGAGACAGGTTGTTCCACTGGTTAATTGTTCTAACTGTCAGGAAGTTTCTCCTTAGTTCTCGGTTGCTTTTCTCCTTGATTAGTTTCCATCCATTGCTTCTTGTCCTGCCTTCAGGTGCTTTGGAAAATAGCTTGACTTCCTCTTCTTTGTGGCAGCCCGTGAGATATTGGAACATTGCTATCATGTCCCCCCTTGTCCTTCTCTTCATTAAACTAGACATACCCAATTCCAGCAGCCTTCATTAATAAATCAAATGTACAGTATAATAGAAATTCAATAATGTGGACTACTTGATATAAAAGTAAGCCAAATCTGCATAGGGAGATTCAGAGAATTTATTTAAAAAATATGTTGGAAATGTTTACAGCATTGTTTCTGTAAGAATTTGGCTCATGTAAGATGTGAGGAAAACCTAGAATGGAACACCTAAAATTAAGTAGGGTGAAAAACTATAATGTCCTTCTATTGCCGCATTACTACTAGCTGGTGGTAGTGAGCATGACTCTTGAGTCCCTAGCTATTCTGATGAAGGCTCTAATAAAGATCAGCTGGATGAAAAAAATAACAGCAGAGCTAGGTCTGTTTATTATGCTTCTGATAATTCCCAGTGGAAACAATATTACACCAAGAAAACCTTCTTGGAGAAAAACTAAGAATATACTGCACTGATAATTTACACATTAATTGTCTTCCATTTAAATTGGAAAGCTAGAACAATATTGCATCACACAAAAATTTAAGTTACTGAAATGACTCGTGGACCTCTGAAATAGGTGATCGTTCACAAGTAACACATTTTTTACAGGGATGTGATATTCAGTGGGAGAAGGGAGGAACTTATTATTCAGACCCAGAAACTTAATCAGACAGAAGAGAGACACCTCTCACAACACTGTCAGTGTCACAAACACTTTTGGCATCGAACAAGTTTATCCCTTCTTTCAAGATATGGAAAAATCCAAGTCCAACCCTCATTATTTAATGATAGAGGGTTTTGGAATCTGCTATGCCGTTATTACTGAACAGGATTTCTAGCAACATTTTTCATGGAGCATTTGAAAGTGTTTGATCAAATTTGATAGCGCTAGGCACAGAGCCTTAAATCAAACTGCAGTGATGGTGTGACAGACATTCTAAGGTTTCATAATTTGAATCTGATTTCACCAGTTAGGTCCAGCAGTAAATCAAAAGTTGTGCTTTGTAGAAAACTTCAAAACCAGCTTCTTTCATTCTGTAATCTGAGCCGGGAGCAGAATATTAGATGGGTTAGATCACATTTTGTTGCAGAAGAAACTAGATCATAACAAAATCATAAAGAAAGTTCCTTAAATCTTTGCTCCTCTATTATGAACTTTGCAATAAGAAATAACATATAGTTATGTTGCTTCATCAGAAAAAAGATCTCCAAAATCAACAACTGGCATTGGCAAACTTCAGTCTTGCAAGATTCCCTTCACTATTTACAAGAACATTAGTCCAATCAGTGAACTAATACTGGACCATTTCTTTTGACAATTGTTACATACATTTTGATGTATTTTCTTCTTGACCTGTTGTTTATACCCATTGGGTGTTGTTTTAGTTTTCTTTAATCACCTTAATAAATTAGCTACCAAAAATTGCTTGATTTGTTTGACAACATTGACATTTGTTCCTAATTTTTTTTCCAGACTAGAAAACTACCACTTGAATTATAATCTCAATGGCTAGACATTTTTTTCTCTTGATGTATTGGCTTTTAAATTACACTATGGCTTCTTCAAAAATCCATAACTGACTGGATTCACAGATCATGATATGTCATAAAAGAATGTTTACAAATTCACATTGGTTGACTTTATTCAATTTGTTAAACTAGAAGCACATAAATCATAGTGGTATAGTGATTAAGGCACCAGGCTAGAAACTGGGGGGAACTATGAATTCTAATTCTGTCTTAGGCATGACAGCTGACTAGGTAACTTTGAGCCAATCACTCAATCTCAGGCCTAGGAAGAAGGCAGTGGCAAACCACTTTTGAAAAACCTTGCAGGAAAACAGCAGGGGAGTCAACTCTGATACACAGATACACACATGCACAAAATTAAGTAGCAAGTTAATTAGCCTTCATTCTTATTGTCACATTTTATTTCTTTATAAGGAGAAGGGAAGGATTTCACACTATGTTAGTCTCTTTTGTTTCCAAAATTTTAATAATTCAATTTTAATAATTGAATTTTCTGGGACTGCAGAATTACAGGCAGATCCCCAATATTTATTAAAGAAGAAATGTTGCTATATTCAGTGAGCATTTGCCTTGCTTGAAGAAGACCTGAGGGAAGGGAAAATATTTTGGAGAACATAAAACATCTCTGCAATTTGAAAGATACAGAAAACAATAAAAGGACCCTTGAATCAAACTTGTTCCCTAAGAACTACATGACTATCCATGCAATTTTCTTGGCAGCAATGGGAAAAATTGTTTGCTATTGCCTTCTTCCATGACGTTTTATTGACTTTCCAGTCTAGCACAGCTTTGGGGATCCCTAGTAGTTTCCCATCCAACCTTAGCCAGATGCTGCCATGAAAAAAATTCTGAAAAATATTATTCCTGTTCCACTCTTTTTCCTCATTACTGAACTTTTGCAGTAAAGTCAAAAGCAGCAGTGGAATATAGGGGCTTATTTGCAGATCATATTTTATAGGCCATCTGCAAAATTCATGAAAGAAACAGGCACTTCCAGACATTCATGTTAGTCCACTAGTGAAATGCTTACTGTACATATTGTTTAAATCAATGGCTTTCAAACCTGGCAACATTAAGTGTTGTAGACTTCAACTTCCAGAATTCCCCAGCCAATATGTTTTCCAATCTGTTGGATCATGTATATAACCCCTCGTCTATCATTTCTACTGACATGTAAAATAAGTGTTCTTTGCAATTTAACCATTTCTGATCTCTCTCAATTTTTCCTCACATCCCCATTTATTAGCATGCAGCCATCTTGCTACAATTTATGGAGGTATTGAAAAGCAGGCTTGTTGCCATGGTAACCATGGAGCTTTTAAGTCCATTCATTTATATTGCAAAAATAAAAACATGAGACATTTGCACTAATGTGAACATCAGCACAGATCAGGGGGAAAAAAAGACTAAATCAGAAACTTTTTTGATTGGATTTTAACCTAATGATTGTAAGGGTTTTGGAAATGGAAGTGCCAGTAAGCTGGAAGAGCTATGATGATTACACTGTAAAAGTTTCACCTGGACAGGTTTTCAATTCTTATAGGTTTTAATCCTTCAGTCATTAAATAATAGAAAGACAGACACCATTGTTGATCTACACAATCTTTTGGGAAGTTTACTGGCAGATATTGATTGGCCTCACTTGTAAACCACTACTTACAAGATTCAGGTACCTCACCTATTTTCATTAAATTGAGCCAAACAGAGAAACATTTTTAAAAAAACTCTTGGCAGTGCATTCATAAAGGTTAGAGTTAGCAGTTTTCAAGATGAAGAGCAAGAAAAGTTTTCTGTATTAGGACCACCCTTTCTACGCCTCAGACAGATACAAGACTATAAACACACAACCAAATGAATAAATAGAAATAAACCCTCCCTTATATTTAAAGTGTATATTTCAGCAACAATATGTTTCTTCTAATTATTGTTGTAGACCAGTGGTCACCAACTTTTCTGGCTCCGCAGACAGGTGGTGGCTATAGTAGTGGAAGAGGCAGGAATTGTTTCATGTGCACAACCTAATGCCATGCATGTGAAAATGGAACTTTGTGCACTTGCATGACCCGGTTCCCAATAGGCAGTGGATTGGTACCGGTCTGTGGACTGGGGGGGAACACCTATTGTAGACAACATAGCAATTTTTGTATATACAAATCAGAGGAATAAGTATAGCAGCAAATCTGGACATTAATTTTAGCATTGTACTATAGGCAGAAAAATTCATAAGGCATAACAAATATTTTTGTTAAGATGAAATAAATTTTTAAACAGGAGCTCATAATGCATCTAATATAACTTTATAGTTATTATTTGGAATGGGAACAGGACCTGTCTTAAGTATTCCAAACCAGGTGGAAAACCAGATGGAAGCTGGGTTTGTTTCCAGATTATGGTTGTTTCTGAAGGCTTTGATTGCTCAGACATCTGCAGAGAACCTGGAAGAAGATCTTGCGTGGTTTTATTAACTGGGCCTAGAGCATTTGCATGAAACAGAATGTTTATGTTAGGAATGAAATAGATTGCCATTTTAAGAATTATATATATATACCATTGAATGTAAAAACCACATAGCCTGACCGTATATAGTTGTTCTATGAGGGTCTTGAGCCAAGGGACTAAGAGTTGGAGCCACAAAAGTGTGCAGAAAAATAGGAATTTTCAACATTTGTTTCCTCAGAGTTAATCCACACAATATTGATATAAATATTTATTATTAAGATAAGCCTACCTACAAATGTAAATTCTAAGAAATATAATTCCTATACTGTTCTGAGAGGTTTATTTATTCATTGACATTTCATATTTCTTAACCACCCATCTCCCTCAGGGGCTTATTGAAGGATGGCATGAACATATTTTATATAAATTCTGTAGAAAGAGAATTTGTAAGATTGTAAGTAAATAGGACTGCCTAGGCTCTAGCACAGGGGTAGTCAACCTTGGCTCTTTTATGACTCGTGGACTTCAATTCCCAGAATTCCTGAGCCAGCTACCCCTGTTGACTAACTATTTACATCACTGTCAACATACCATGACATTACTGGCTCTCATCTGTTACATCAACATGATCAGTAATAAAACATGAAGGGACCTGTCGTCCACTCTCTAAAGGACCACATATCGAGCAGACATATAGAAATCTGTCACCATCTACTAGTCAGCATCTTACATACTCACTAAAAGTATCTAAAGCAGCAAAGTCTCCAAGTTTTTGTTTCTTCCTACTGATCTCTTATCTACGTGATTATATACCGAGGGCTCATATTTTACCTTCTTTTTCCAGCTCATATTCTGGTTACCATTCAAACTTTTTCTGAATTAAAAATAAAAAGAGGTCAGGCACCTCATTTGAAGAAACCTACACGATGCTCTTTTTAATTCTGGACTGAAAAGTTAAATCCATCTTTCTTGCAGTTATAGACCATGATGAATTTACAGTCCTTTATTTGAATGCGTGCATAGGTCCTTCATCCTATAATTATATTGAGATCTTAATTATTATTGCAGCCACAGCTTTCCTTCAAGGCTTAAGACCACAGGAAGGAAAAATAATCCCTTTGAATTTCTCTTTAAATATGCATAACTGGATTGTAAATATTTCATTGGTTCTTCTGCATCATGTTACCTCACCAGGTTGTGCTGTTGCCAAAACCTGTGTTACATGAATTACTGTGAGGTTTTATTGGTTAAAATTTCAAACAAAGTGGAGTCTTTCCTTTCAGTTAGACTTAAATTAACTCCAGAAAATCAATAATCAGGTATACTGGAAATATTATTGGAAAAATGAGGACATTTTGAATCATGATTTGTGCTGTTTTCTCAATCTGCAGATCTTATTTATCTTTCTTTCTAATCACTTAAAATATATTAAACTGCAAATAAAGTGATTTAATCAAAATTTTAAAAATTGGTATACAATTCACATTCCTTTGGTGTGGGATAGCTAGTTGGAGTGTAATGATTTTGGTAACACAGTTGAAATATTACATAGAGCAGTGGTTCTCAACCTTTTTAATGCCGCGACCCCAACCGGTCGTAAGTCGAGGAATAAACCGGTCGTAAGTCAAGGACTAAACCAGTTGTAAGTCGAGGACTACCCAACCGGTTGTAAGTTGAGGACTTTCCCTGCCCGGGAGCGCCGCGCATGCGTGGTTCTACCCCCTGTGCTGGCCGAGGCATAGCTGGCAAGCGGCAGAGACGGAGCAGGCCGACCACCAGCTGGCCCAGCCCAAGGGAGGTAAGGCACCCGCCGGAAAAGGGGAAAAAATGGCGGACAAAAAAAATGGTGGACAAAAAAAATGGCGGACAGCCTTGCTTGGCGACCCCCATGAAATGGTCGATCGACCCCAAATGGGGTCCCGACCCATAGGTTGAGAACCAGTGACATAGAGCAATTTCTGTTTTAGCACATTACTGGAATATTCACTCTGCAGAATGTTTTATAATAACTACTTGGATTTTTCTTTTCTTCAGAAGGTTGACCATATTCTTTCCATTTCACAAATAGTATCTTTTTGAGGAAACTAGAAAGTGCCAAGAGGAAAGTATTTTGATTTCTTGGAGTAAGCAACAAAAATCATGCAGGCTTGAAGACTGCATTAATGAAGCATTTCATCTATGATTCTTCCATGATGGGAAGAGAGTAGAGTGAACTTGTTAGTACTTCTAGAGAATTCCTCTACCAAGATTTCACACATGCTATTTAAAGAGACAAGCTGCAAGGTGTAGGAGAGAAATTTGACTTCATTTTTAAAGTGTAACATTCTTTTTTTTAAAAAAGCGGGGGGGGGGGGAGAGGAGATTTGAAAGGTTTTTCAGCCAGGCTGCAATTTTCACCTTTAATGAGAAGTTAGCTGTCTCAGACTAAAGGGAAGATATGGCATGAACTACCCTTCAGTTTGATTGCACTCAATTGTCCTTCAGAAGCTTGTTAGCGGGAATTTTCTCAAGCATGTTTCAGAATGATCAGGAGTTGCTGATGTGAGATTTCTCAGGTGAAGTGTGTTTGAAGGATGCAAACCTTTTTAATGGAAGGCTGACATTTCTAAGTTTTCTTGTTGAATAAATAGCACAGATACATACCTGCAGACTAGAGCAGGCAGTGGAGCATAATCAATATTAAATACCTATGAAAACATATTCAGATTCATATTTATATAATATACATTCTATTCCACCTCTATTCAGAGCAGAAATTAAAGTGGATTTTCACCTTTCCATTTAATCATATTGCTATATGAATATTATTTCTTTTTATACTTTATATATCAGCACTTACCTTGAGAAGCCATGAAGCTGCCTGGATCACTTCTTCAAAGTGAGCAGGGTTAAAGGGGGGGGGGAAACACGTGTTACCTGATTGCAACAGGACACAAGGGGAATGGAAAAAACACAGTATGCAGAAAGTTCAGATAATGTCTGTCTACTTCAAGTCAGGTTGCAAAAGAGTAGCATGGAAACACAGCACCGTTCTTATATTACTGATTCCTGCATTTTGCTGTATGAGCAATAGGGGGAGATAATGCCTGGAACAGAGAAAAAGAATTCTGCATCTGTGTGAATAATGAAAAGAAAGAGGATATATAAACAATCGTATTTAACAAACTAGCTATTGTATTAATGGCTGTGGGATTAAATTTCACCTGCATATATCGTATCCAATATTCTGCTTTTACATTATCTGCTATCTACATCGATATTAAGATGCATGAATTAAAGAAAGGTGATGTCACAATGTTTTCTATGGGAACAGAAGAAAGCATGCATGTATGATGGAGGTTTTATCCTCTTGTCAGTCAGCTTTTATCAAGGGAGATTGTTCCTTGGCAGAAGAAAATCATATCCAGGAAACAATGCTGTTTGTCTTGCAATGGAAATTGAATTCAGATATGGAGATATTTATTCAGAATCTAGAGACTAAATTATAAAACTAGTGGTCATCCTAAAAGCATTAGGAAAAAAATAACCTTGAGTTGCCAGCTTATATTTCTAACACATAATCAAGTTGCCATGGTGATTGTGTCCACGTCTGACTCACACAGCCATGATTCACAACTATTAAGTGACCACAAAAAGGGCAATAGAAGAAAAAGCTGTCATGCAAATCTCAGCAGGTTGAAAGTCATTGTTACCTAACATTGGTAGTTATCATACATGCTCAAGCTCATTTTATGATCTTTTTAGTTTTTGCTCAAGATAATTACATCTAAATTGTATTTTCATGGCTCATGGCAGAACTACAATTTAAACCTTTTGCCCCCATACATTCAGAGAAATAGCCTGTGGCTTGAGATTCATTTTATATACTGAAAAATTCAGGACATACAGTAATTTTAATTTATAGAATTTGTTGGTACAAGATTCCACTCAAGATTGATGGATACCTCACTTATGCCATACATTAGTATATGAAGACAGTTCAAAACATTTCCATGCAATATTTGTTGTCTATGTATTTTAATGATTAATGACAAATTAGACATTTTTACACAAGTATATTAGTAGGTCCCATTAAAAGAAAGCCCTGATCAATATTTTAACTTTTTAAGAATTGGTTCCATATATATACCAGTTAAAATTTAATTCTATGGTGTAAATAGATGGAACATGATTTTACAGTTATAATTCTAACCCCAAAAGAATATCCTCTGGCACAATATGAGCTATACATATAAGGCTGGAGTATATATAGTTTCTGACCTTGCATATAGAAATAGGAGAGGAGACAACAAGCCTTTAACACAGTATGTAGAAACAAATCAAAAGGTCCTGTTTTTTTACATATTTATTAGTTTATTTTCTGTAAAGATGTCTAATGTATTTTTCCCTTGAAAATCTGGTTCCCCTTCCCCTTTCTTTTTATTTGGACTCCTCCCAACCTTTAATCTGAGACTCCAGGTAATTAGATTAGTCCCTTCTTTTCTTAGCCTTACTCCAACAACTTGGACAGATTTTAAAAGGAGTAGCAACATTTTATCCCCCAAATAAAAGGAATGGATTAGGCACTCTCTGTGTATGTGACAGACAGCCCCTGTCCCTCCTGAATAGATGGACTCTACATCTGCCTTATCTGACATGCTACCTGGCTGTTTGTCATTTTGCTTTATTTCTTCCTCTCTTCTTTTATTTCTTCCTCTCTTCTTTTATTTCTTCCTCTCCTTCCCTCCCCTTATGATTAATAAAAAAAGAATTCTGAAGAAGAGTCCCAATGAAGACCACTTACTAGAGGCAAAAACAAGAAAGGTCTCACCATCATGTGTATCAGCTGCCAGGAACTAGAATTATGTTCCAGATCAGGCTGTTTTTGACATCAAGGTCTAACATTTGAAGCCCCAGAAGAGATTGGAGTGGACTAGCTGAAACCTCAATCTAATTCTCAATTGTAAGGCATACGTTTAAAACAGTTTGACAGATGGTTTAAATTTCTTCCTGATTAAATGCTTTGGAAAAGGAAACTAAATTTAATAATAAAAACATGGAATAGAACAAAGAAACATGAATAATTCTCCATTTTGAAAAACTCAAAGGTCTGTTAAAGTTGGAATGCTCCAACCTAACATTAGATTCATCTCCTCTGACAAAGAATGTTTGGTGAGGGAATTATATAGAAAAGAAGGATGAGGGTAGAGTTAGTATAAGGTTTGGTCTGAGAATTTAAAGTACATATAATAGGAAAAGAGAAAAGTTCAATGCTGTTTTTATTTCAAAAGAGGATGTCTTTTAAAAAAACAAAACCAGGCTAAAAATCCATGTTTGGATTAAACCCAAGAACTAGATTCTTCCCATATTTTTTAACATTTAATTAAGTCTTTAAAAGATCAGCTTGGAAATAAAGGATCAATTTGAAACAATTATCTATATATTTTTAACAATTTGTACACTGCCTTTCCAAAGAAACTTTTCCAGATTAGTGAAGAGCAGAGGATCCATTTGCTTTTGCTGAGTGTAATGAAACATATGTAAACTATTCACTATAACTCTGATAAAATGGCCTATTAAATGAGAGGTTATATATGAATTTGTGCAAGCTGCATCTAAGGATTCAGTTCAAAAACTGACCTTTTTGTATTACACTTAATATAAGTTAGGGAATATTGGTTCCTCAGTAAGCTTTGTTCCTAAGCCTCTCAGCTATAAAAATCATTCAGCAGAGACAGAATAGGTTCTTATTATGGGATTTGCAGCTGAAACATGTTTTCCTAATGGAGTGATTTACAATTTGAGGTGTCAGAATGATTGTTATCATGGGCAGCTGATGCTCATTTGATTGTTTCAAGCATACTGTAGGTTCTTTTTTCCTTTTTCAGGAAAGATAATGTAAAAATAAAGGCCAGTATAGGAATTGTAGGGGGTGGTAGTAACAATATGTTTATTCCCCCCCCCCCGAAATGATTTCTCTCTTTATTCTCACCTTATTCCAATGGTAGGTTTGCTTTTAACAAATAATCGGGAAGAGACAAGAAAATTGCTTTGGCTTGCACCGCTTTGGAGGGTCTCTGTGTGCAGTAAAAGAAGCTGCTAGTCTACAAAACCAAGTGTTACAAATTGAAGTAACAAATCTGTTTGCAACATAAAAAGGCCCTTCTTCAGAAGAAAAGACCAAACATTATGATCAAAATGGAGAAAAGTTATGTGATGGGGGAAGGGAATCATAGCAAAAAGAAAGCCAATTATGCTTGCGAAGTCATACCATACATTTTCAATAACACACTTTTCTCCAAAATAATACTTACAAAAATAATGCTACCTCTTTATGTTTTCAGAACATGTTTACAAGGTAGAGGATGGAAGAAGATTATCTCCTCGACAATGGCTTCCCTGGCTGAGCTAGATTTCTAAAAACGTTTGGTATTCCCAAAAAGCACCATTGTGAAGGAGGATATATAGAGCAATAATACACTGTCACTCACTTCAGCCATATTCCTTTTTTCTTCACTAAACATACAAGGAACCTCATAGCAAAACTCAGTGGAAGAAAACACTTGAGACCTATTATCTTGACAGTCTATTCTATAAGATAACTACTGCTTCCAAAGTATTCCAGATCATATTAGCTGCCAGTTTTCTACATTAAGATCCATTCATACGTGGGATCAAATAGTTTCAATAGAGGCTTGCAAAAAAATTCAGCCAATCACAGCCTAAAGAGCAAAAGGAAATGATCGTAGCTTAGTACATATTTTGCATGAAGTCCCAGAATTAACACTTGATATCTACAATTAAAAGATTGTAGTGATGGACAATTAGGGAGAACATAATGTGTTTTTCATGTATGTTCGTAGGTTCATCCGTATATAACATTTTAACTGCTTTAGGCACAGCTCTTTTGGTACTTCCTAGGTCATCTACCCCACTCTGTTTTCAGAAGGTGCAAATGCTACTTTAATTGTAAATGTAATAGAAGGAGGCAGTTATGCAACAAAGCAAAGTGTGACTATCTGAATTTCCAAGAACGTTATTGGATTATATGTAGACCTAATAGTCTTGAGAAGCATTTTGATGTATGGGTTAAAGGCATCAGGATAAAAAACTAGGAGACACTGAGTTCTAGTTCAGCCCTAGAGATAAAGCCAGCTTGGTGATTTTGGCCTAGTCAGTTTCTTTCAGCACTGGGAAGAAGGCAGTGGCAAACCATTTCTGAAGGTGTTCTCAAAAAATAAATTTGCCTGTAATTGGAGGATACATGCACACACACACACACACACACACACACACACACAGAGAGAGAGAGAGAGAGAGAGAGAGAGAGAGAGAGAGAGAGAGAGAGAGAGAGAGAGAGAGAGAGAGAGAGAGAATATCTGAAAATAAACCTAATGGGTGACCATATCCTCATGCTTACTTTGTAACTTTATCCACCTCTTTCTTACAAAAAGTAAAGTGTGGTATTAATACTATCTATTCTGGGGGATTAGAAAGGATATGAGGGAACATCCTTTTCACTGTGGACCTTTAGCTTTGGGCCTTCTCATGATGTAATCTTAAAATCTCAACTATCTCTAATGGTTTCTAATAGGTTGGGGACTCTTATGTCTGAGTGTGGACTAAATCTTGACTGCTCTTCTCTTCTAGGCAATTTCCACCATTTATTTTTACATCCAGTTCTCATTGGATGTTTTATTCTCATAGTAATTCTGTCTTTGCAGTTTTGGAATTTGTTTTCCAATGTGGCTATATCTGCAACTAGATGTTCTGAGGTGTTTATAAGGATTAGTTAGCACTCCAAAAGATTCCCAGCTCTTTCTGAAAGCCCAGCATCTAGCACTATATCAGCAATCATCTTTATATAATTTAA